TTAATAGAACCTAATATATAGAAGTATATCAATGGACTTTTCATTTGCGCTCTTCCACTGCGCTTGATTCCAAATACTCTTGTTCGTTCAATGTTTATTCTCATATTAGAGGAGTCCTCACACTTTAATTTTTAAGTTAATTTTTAAGTTATTTATATTTGAAATTTTCATATAATAAATGTATATAATAATTATTATATATTATATAAATATAACTTTTTCAAGAAATCATGAATATTTGCAAAACTGTAATTGAATCACGTAGTATAATTCACTGTTAATACTGTATTAAAATTCTATTATTTGCCTGTTAATACTTATTAAATTCTATTATTTGCTTTTAGAAGCATATAAATTTTATGAAAAAAGCATCAAAATCATATATTTTTCTTGTCTATAAATACAGAAAGAAAATATAAGGTGTCATTATATTAGAAAATGTAGTACAATTAATAATATTATATATTTTAAATACAATGAAGAAACAATCAATTAAACAAAACAATAAATATAAAAATACGTAAAAAAATCGATTTAATACAAAAGCATTGCAAGATTAATTAGAATTAGCACGACACATATTTTAACGCGTTAAGTAGTTATGACCGATCATTGTCAGGCATCGCGATAAAAACGCTTGTCGGCTGAATGTGAAGATATTTAACTACTCGTTAGACGATATCTGTACCTCTGATTACTTGTTACATTAACTTGTACCGCAGTAATCAACGTGAAAAATCCAAAATAAATGTGTTACAATACAAAAATACGGGAAATCCGTTAAAATATTAATTTCACGATTCATTTTACATACGAACTCTAAATATCGAATATCACGTACGAGCAAAAATCAGCATATAGAAAAAATGAGATCAATTAGTTTTGTAATATATTTCTGTATCTGTATTATAACAAATAACGTAGACAATTTAAATTTCAATAAGATTTACTCAATTTCTTGCATCTCGGATCGAACGGACAAGGCATTTCTCGCGACAATATTTTACAAATAATCGTAAATCTATAATTCAACGTCAAACTGCATACCCTATTAACGACGCGTTAACGAAATTCGGAACAATCACCTTCGGCTTCCGTCCTCATTATTTTTTTCTCCTTCGCATCTCTCTATGCGACCAATCCATCGAGCGTTCGCTCGGCCTGACGACACCGCGCCGAGGAAGTTATAAGCGCCGATTTACCATTGTCACGGCCGTTTCTCTCCCGCGAGAGAACATTACGATCGGAGGCTGTCGCAATTCGAGCGTGGCAATGCAAACCGATGACCGACCGGCCGGCTAACCGCCTCGCCGTCTTGTCTCGCCTCGCCTTGCCCCGCCGCGCCGCGCCTCGCCGCGCCTCGCCACGCCGCACCTGCACCCGCTCTCGGCGCAAGTGGTTATATTTGTAATCCTCGTATGCTCTCTTCTTTCCCTGCAATCTCTCGTGCAGGCCAAGTACGCGGTATGTACGCGGAAAAGAAACGGCTTGCATTCTCGGCTGACTGCCAGACTATATTTACTGCAACGTGCCGATTACACCTGTAAAAAGTCCTGTGGAAAGCGGAGAGCGCAGATCCCGCGGTATCGATTAATCGCAGAGGATGGTAGCCCACCCGCATGCCCACCTGAATGTCCAACTGTGTGTCTTTTAAACAAAATAAATTTTCTAAATGCTAAATGAAGTTATAACGGAGCCTGATTTTTTGTGCGTGAAAGACCGCTGGTTATATTGATTTATTTATATATTTATCGGCTAAAGAATAATAATAATAATTATAACTCCGATGGACGCGAGAAAGTGATGCAGAGTTTTCTGGATAATTTTTAAATAGACACGCTAAAAGATTTGGAAATACGAAACGCAGAGATGACAGTAGTGATGGCGATGAGTTCCATGACAATACTAATAATATAAATAATATAAATTAACCATTTCTAAAAAATTCACATCAATTCTATAATTTTCTTCAAAGATCAACGACATTTTTAATTTGGGAAAATCTCTCAAATATGCTATGATAATTATCGAAATTCAAAATTATTCTGTAATTTAAAAAATTTAGAGAAACGATGATTCTTTTTACTTGAATAATATTGCTACGTTATTCATAGGAATATCGAACAATGAAATAATACATATGTGGAGAACTTAAAGAATCGCGACAGCTGGTTTGACGTCATAATTTGACGCCGAGGATCGATGCGCTCGGATGAATTGTGATTTAATTGGCAGACAGGGAATAATCGCGGTAAAGTGGACCACGATTGTCTAGGCGAAATAATAACAACGATATTCTCGTCCCGCCGTCTACGTCACGGCTGTGACGTAAGCAGATATCGGGCACAAACGGTGACGAGCGTTTGGAAATAATATCGGACGGGCGTAAGGCGGCGATAACCCAAATCGTTCTGTAATAATGTTCAATTATTTAACCACCGTGGCTCGATTCACCGCAAATCCGGCACCGAGAAGTATGAGTTACAATTATCGATAATAAAATACTGTACGGACGAAGAAACTCGCTGATGTTTCCAAATGGATAATATATCTGATATGATACGAAAATTGATATCTTGAATATCTCATGTGACAATCAGAAGTCGAAATAGATGAACGAACTTACGATATATTACCCCAAAACACAATTTTTAAAATAAAACCAAAATCTCCATAAAAAGCGATCCATAAAAAGCGATTTTAAAAAGCTAACATGAATAATAATCGGTCTTTTCGCATCATCAAGCCGAAAACGAGCGCAACAGATCGTTATGTTAGGAATCATATTAATTTCGATAAATGCATGCTTTTGCAACTGAAACTGATAGAGTGTAATATCGAATGACCTAAATATCGAGCAGTGTAGTTAGACCATATATAAATAAATATTTTAACAATTTAGTATTATACTCGAGAAAAAGTTTCAAATTGTATTGTGTGCATGCATTTAATGGCATGCAATCCAAAATCGAAACAATTAATTAAACAATTTTTTAAATTGTATTTTAAATTCTGTTGCAAAATAAATTTGATATATTAAATGTTAATATCGCATAGCATTACTAGTTCAAAATTTGGCTATTTAATAATAAAAGTTCAATATATTAATATCTGATTGCATATACTATGGAAAATTGGCAAATTTTTTAACAATTCGATTCTCTCTCGAACAGTATTTATAAATTTAAAAATAAATAAATTTTTATAAAAAAAGTAAGAAATAAAATTGTATCAATTACATTTTATACAAAAATCAATATTAAGATATTAAACTTAATAATATATTCCAATACGTAACGTGATCTTTTATCAAGTTTACAATAATACCTTATAATTTTATGACCCGCGCATTTTATCGAGTGATCTATTTCTTCATAAAAGTCCATCCATTCCCCGTCATTTAATTATCAATCGAGTTATGAATCGAATTAAATTGCAGAATATGAAATCTCGATAGAGGATCTATAATATAGAACATGAAAACGTCATCGAGAGAAAACCATCGAACCATTTACATACGTTATCAATAAAACAAAATGTAATTTTATCGATAACGATTGGCTGAAAATTTCGCGATCGAACGAAACGATCGAGTACTATGATCTAGCATCCTCAGTGCAGAACCACCACCGCCATCACCACTACCACCACCACCACCATCATCATCGTACATCACCGTCACCATAACCATCACCAGCAGCGAGTATCTTACGGGGTAATCCACGGTCTTGCGCCCCATGTTTTTGACTTACACTTGTTCCAATGATCGTGACGTTGCGCCGCGTGCTGCTCGAGGTTCCGATGATGGTCGTGGTTGTTGTTGGTGTCCGCGGCGATGGTGAGCTGGTGGTACGGCGTGGCGGTGGCCAGGTGGATCGGCGCCGTCGCCGATCGCTCTTGCTGCTCGACGGCACCCAGGTGCCGGACGGCGGCGACGGCGGCGACGTCGTTAGCGCCGCTGCGGTGCTGCTGATGCTGATGATGGTGATGCGCCGTGACGCCGACGGCAGCGGCGGTCGCTTCCGTGCTGCCGGTACTGTCCTCGACGGTGGTGCGCATCGCGCGTACGATCGGCAACGGCGTTGCTTCGGCGATCGCTTCGTTCAATCGCGGCGGTTGCTCACCGGGCGACCGCCGATCGCGCGTAGCATCCCGCGCGATTCGCGATTCGCGGAGACGCGAATGAACCGGAGGACACGTACGCGCGTCGATGAAAATCAATAGTCCCCCGAGACTTCGGACGTTGTGCGCGTCCACGATCTATAGATCCGCGGGAATCCCCTCGAGAGGCGTCGCGGACAGATCCGTCCGCGAGAGACCGTCACGTGAGCTCCAGTCTACTGGAACGCGAACTGCTTACGCCGATCGACGTGGGCATCGGAGATTTAAATTCCTGCCGGATGAGCTACCGACGTTCGACGCCGAATATCGGCGGGTATCGAGAAGCTCCCTTTAATCCTTACATGCGAATGATGAGATCAGGTAAAATGAGATCGATGTGTGTGTTGCACAGTTCACGCCGATCAATGATTAAAAAAAACGCGCCGCGTTCGCGGGAAGATGCGATAAACTGCACGTTCAGCATCGATACATCCCTTTAATAATGAAGCATGCGCGGTCGGGCCGGTCGACGAATGGACGGCGGGAGGAAGGGAAAGAAAATGAAACGGCAATCAGAGGAGTCAGACTTGCGGTGATGCACGATCGAAAATCCGTTACACGATTATTGTCAATTGACCAAATGCTTTCCCCGTCTATGATCACGTATAGAAGAATAATGTATGAAAAAAAGCCGAGGTAGGAAAAAAGACCGGGAAAAAAGGAAACAGGAGGAAGAAAAAGGAGGATTCCCTGCCGCCAGCCGGTGGAGAACGCGCTCGCGATTTCCACACGCAACACACACAACACCGGAGGAGCAGTGCGATAGCCTCCTCCCGCGCAACAACGAATGAACGAACGTGAGACAGCACACGTGATATGATGTGTGATGTATCACCGACCTGCGTGCGTCGTCGTAGGGCAAGGCGAATCCTTCCTGATGATGTTGTCGGAGGTCAGCGCTCCACCGAGGAGCCCGAATACTTCCGCTCTGGGCACTCGCATGCAGAATCCTGATGCTTCGTCGCCGCTTATCGTTGTTGCAGCGTCGCTGCGTCGGGCGTCATCGTTCTTCTTCCTGTTGGAGCTGGTCCTCGTTGATCCCGGTACCTGCCGCTAATTAGTTCTGCTTGATCGAGAATGGGCTCGGATGGTCGCGGTAATCAGCACACCGGTACGTGGTCTGATGGGGATCGGTCACTCCAGAGCACCGAACGCGACAATCAACACGCGGAGATACAAGCCACCCTCGTCGAAGAAAAACGCTCAATCCCGCACGATCCTGAATACGCGAAACGTAAACGATGACGGCGTCGGTCCAGCGAACGGGGCCGGGGAAAACGTCGTTACGCGGATAGATAAAGAAAGAGAGAGCGAATGATAGACGACAGGTGAAAAATCCTGAGAGAGTGGAACCTTCGACTACTCTGAGAGAGAGAGAGAGAGCGGTACACTCGCACGGGTGGCCGGCCGCCGCGTAACTGAGTCCGGATCGCGCGCGTTCCTCCGCTATATTAAAACCGTACCGTGTGTAGCGGCGGCGACGGCGGTGGTGGCGTACGAAGATGCGGAGAGGAACGGAGAGGAGGGTGGAAGGCGCGCGGTAGCGGGAGGCGAACGGCGCTAACGATGACGTCATCGCAGACGTCATAACCCGGGACGCGTACACGGCAGCAGCCGGCGGATCGATGGACCCGGCCTGAGTATGAGCGCACCTATTGGCCCACGCGGCCGATGATGCCGTTACGGTGACGTCAACACGCCACCCACCAGCCACCCGGCGCTGTCCCTCTTTCCCTTCCCCTTTCTCTTCCGCCTTCACACCCTCCGGCACCCGTTTCAACCCCACGCAAACCTCGAGGCGGTGTGGAGCAGTGGCGGCACGCGGACCCGACGCACCAAGGAAGAGAAAAGAAGACGAGCACGGAAGAAAAAGAAGAGAGAAGAGACAGAGAGAGAGAGAGAGAGAGAGAGAGAGAGAGAGAGAGAAAAGAAACAGACTTTAAATTTGTCCTTCGTACAAAATTCTTTTGCTACTTTCTCGCTTTCTTTTGATGTTGCAGAAGCAGCCGCGGTTTTTATGAATGCAACGTATTTAATTACGTCATAATTACATGCGCACATGATGTTATTTTTTTTATTATAACTCGGAATTTCATATGTATAAATAAAAATAAAATTTCACAAATGCAACACATGTTATTTTATGATGCTACATTATTATGTTACATTTTATTAAATTTCATAAAAGATTTTTTCAAATAGTTTTAATTGTGTATGATGTGTAATATATGTTACAATAACGATATCATTTATCTTCTACATGATATATTTTACAAAGAAAATGTAGTAAAATAAAATATTCAAATGTAAATCTTCAAGAATATTTTTAACTCAAACCTTATGTTTTAATTTTAACAATTTATTAAACATTTATTCAACTGTCATCTCCGTAAGAAATTCCGTAGATTTATTTATTAATAAAATTGATAAGCTGAATATTAAATTCATAATTAAATATCAAATGAATAGCCTTCTTAGAAGTCATAAAACGACTGTAAATAATTATTCAATTCGTCAATGATGACGATTTTGTAATACGTTAACGAATGCACCATCATACCTTTTTGCGTATTGTCATAAATATACCGATCTGATGGCGGGCTTATGTCGGTTATGGCCGGTTTTGTAATATCGATGAGAAAAGACCGCGAGAGCGTCGATACTCGTTGCTCGTGCGTGCAACGATGCACCGGAATGCATCGCAGGCGCATAGACGTGCTGTCGTTATTAACCTATGACCTAGGAACATGCATCCAACCAATTCCCGTAATGCAATCAGTCGATAGCTGACAATTATCGCATAAGGACGGTATTTCGTTATTTTGCTCACGATGATCTCAGAACCAGTTCGTAATTATTTCGTAATTATCATAAACCTAAGAAAAATCTAAGGAAAATTAATTTCCCTCGAACGCCTTGCGTGACGTTTATCCTCGTATAACGATAACCGGCTATCGAATTTTCCACTTTAACGATAAGGATCACTTTAATTTTACCCATTTTCTCTAAGACTTTTAATTCTTTCTCCTCTCCAATTAAAAATCTGAAAGCTCGTATAAGAAGAAAATTAAATTACGATACCAATAAGTGTACTTAAATTCTTCTTTCATTTTATAATTTTTCAAAGTTTTAAAAATAATTCACCTGCAAATTTTAAAAACAATTCATCCTGCACAGTTTTAAAAACAATCACGTAATACATCAAATTAAAATAACAATAAAACACTTGGATGCACTCTTACGAATCATCGTAATAGAAATAGTGTTCTAAGTTAAATCATTAATAGCTGTCCTGTTTTCATAAATTCGCTGTCAATATCCATACAGCGAACTCAATTAAAAGTTTCTAAAGCATCGCGAAATGAGGCTATCGCAATGGAAACGCTTCTCGTATTACAGTGTCTGATCTCACTCGTCCCACTCGTTCCAGACAGGCTTTCGCGAATTCTCTCGCGCAGACTCGGCCATTCGGAACGAGTGGTTTAATACGTCATCAATTTATCCGTGACGTCATACGAGGGTGAAACGATGACGTCGTCGTTTGCCCCCACTACGTGCAGTTCTATAACAATACCTACGCCACTCTTATTGGACGCTTCTGCGCGTGGGTCAGTTATCCCCCGGCAAGGGGATGCGGAGAAGTCTGGCGTTATCAAGCGGGAGAGGGAGACGGAGCGAGTCTAAGAACGGGAGGGAGGGAGACAGAGAGGATGCGCGCAACGCATGCCGCTTTTCCGTCGCTTTCAGCACCGCGCCGCGTGGCCTCCATTCATGCATCATCCGGTGCACCCCGCGCGCCCTCCCCACCCTGTGCGTTTACCACGTACCTCTCTCGACCCTTCGGCACGCGGTGCACGCGTGGCAGAGCGGAGGCGTCAGCACATGATGTCGATGTCGTCCCGGTTTAATCGGCCGTAAGACGGGCACTTCGACACGTGACAAAACGCTGGAAGGCTCGTGGCCGGCTCTGCGATGCCACGCCACCGGCGTGCCGTCACCTGTGTGAAGCGTCCGCTGATCCGGAAGAGCGCCGATTGAGGGGTAAGGTCGGCTTCGATCCGGTCGCGGCCTGGGGTGAAATCGGCGGCGGCTGCTCCCGCGCGGAGAACGCACGTCTCCGTCGCGCCGAGCGCCGAGTCGAGGTAGCGAGCAGCAAGGTTTCTCTTTGAACCTTGCCTCATTTGAGAGTACCAACGCTTTCCTGCCATCCTGATACGTAGTGTACAAATTGACGTACACGCCATTTTTTTAGTTATATAAAAGTTATATAAAAGTTTAATTATACCCCTTGGTTTATTATATTCTAAAAACTCTAGCTCTGTCTCTGTCTCTCTCTCTTTCTCTCTCCCTCTCTCTCCCTTTCTCAACGTGCGTTGCAAAAAATTTGTCGAATAGACATCCGTAGACAAGTTGAACGTAGACGCATAGATAAATTTATTACCTTCGAAGAGAGATAGGAACCCGCGTACGCGCGATTGTGAAAGCTTAATCGACAATGCCAGGCAAGAACAACGCGCAGTAATAAGAAATTGACTGACATTCACGATAATACAACGGGCGCGATTATCGCGACGATCGTGTCGTGAGATGCACATAAATGTCGGTAATAAGATAAAGACGGATAAAGTCATTTTGCCTCTCGGTGGAATCGCATTGATTTCGACAAGACAGCCGCGATCGACGCGAATGAACGGCACGTATTCTCGCGGGCTTTAGAGGTGCGTGGATAATATATATATTTCCAATCAGCTTGCTATCGGCGAACATACGGGCGAGCATACGCGGACAAGTCTGAGCAACTCGAAATAATCGATTGTCTCATCGCGACGAAATCCTGATAATTCAATAATATATTTTATAATTGAAACCGGCTCTTTCTCTATAATATTCGTCTCGCGCCTGATTCGCGCGTCACTCGTTACACTCACGATATTCATTATGCCAGTGGATCTATATGATATTAATGACAAGGTGTGCAACTTTCTGGCACCACTTTGAGTAATTAGCATACTTGATTAATTAACAGCCATGGCTAATGGTTTCGAAATAAATTATCGAACTCTCGCGCGTATCTGCCGAGATAACTTCACATTTTTTTGAAAACATTGATCGTTGATGATAATGTATGTCTTTACGCTATTATGTTATCTATTGTTGTTTCATCACTATTCTAATATCTCTCGTTAGATGAAAAAAATGGAGTATACATGTACTAGCAATAAAATATTCCGTGGATCTTGGGAGGTTAAAGGCATTTATCTCAACTTAAAGAGACAAAAATGGACACAGACGAATAATAATTTAAAATGCAACTCGATATAACAAATATCATTAAATATTTATAACTGCGAAAGAATAGAACGTGTAGAAAATATCACAACGATCGAAGAAAACAGAATATAGTCATACTTTATTATTTAACTTTTGTCATATCTTTATTTATAAATTATTGATAACATATATGATAACATTATGAAATCTGCAATATTACATATTAATATTACATATTTTGAGGCGGAATTTTGAGGATGAAAATTATTTTAATCTTAAAAATCCAATTCAATTTTACATATGCTTCAGACAATGGCGAATATAACTTTCTATTCTTCATAAATTGATTTATTAATCAGAAATAATCCTAAAAATATATAAATAACTCAAATTTACTAAAAAGACAATATCACAATTTTATTGCATATCCATTTTTATCTCTTGAAATAACTATACATGAGGTTAACTATGTGAGGTTAACTATTAAGTCAACGAAATTAAGTTAAAATTAATTATTATAAAATCCAATCAAATCGAGAAAAACACAAATCGAGAAAAAAACAAGAAACGACAAGAAAAAAAGAAGTCGTTCATAATCGATCCACGAAATGAAATCTTTTGGCAACACTTGTCGCATTGCGATGATAATCGTGAGAGATATATGCCTAATTTAAACAAATGAATTTTCATTTATGTAAAAAGCAATGTTTATTTGATAATGTTACACGATTAAAATACATATATGATAATAATTTGTATACATATTTTTTTAACTGAACGTATGTTTAATATATATGTAATAACTTAATCCTATATTATGTGATTTATTTTCTGTTAATTGCAAACTTTTAAATTTAAAATTAATAATTCAATATATAATAAATTTTTATTTAAATAAAAATATTAATATTACTTTATAAGATGTAAATATAAAATTTATTCAAAAGTTTTGTTGGCTGTTGCACCCTCGGGGATTA